AGAAGAAGAAGAAGAAGAAGAAACTGAGGCTAAAGAGAGGGCTCAATGGCTAATTGCACTTGCTATTCTTACAGAAGATCCATGTTCAGTTAACAGCACCTCTGTGGTCATTCCAGCCATGTATAATGACAGTTTCAGGCGATCCATCACCCTTTCTGGCTTCTTTCCCTATCAGATTTGCATGTGGTGTACAGACATACAATTAGGTAAAACAAATTTATAAAATAAAATAAATATCTAAAGCAATTAAAACAGAAACAGAAAAGAGAAACCAGGTCAGGGAGAATGAATGACTTAGCTGTCAAGTGGAGCATGAGGACCCTCAGAGCACACATTAAAAAAATCAGGTGTGGTGGCATATGCTTGTAATCCCACTATTGAGAGAAAAATCTAGATTCCCTGGATCTGGCTTGTTAGTCGGCCTAGCCCCATCAGTCAGCACCACCACAATCTCGGGCCTCTGAGGTATTATCACCATGCTCTCCAGCATCCCTCTTCCAGATTCCATCCCTACTGTCACCGATACATCACCACCACCATCACCAGGACCAGCACCATTGCTATCTTCATTATGACCATCATTTTAATATCATCAGTATTATTGTTAATGAATGGCTGCCAATTGATTTCCATAATATATTGTTAAAAGAGAGGGAGAGAGTCCTGGGTAGTAACCAACATGGAGGGTTCTGAGTAATTTAAGACTGTGTCATTTTCAATGTTATTACCCTGGACAAGCAACTGACATTATCAAAGTCATCTTAATATTTTTAAGATTTGTTTTTATTTATGTGTATATACCTATGTGGGTATTTACACATGTATCCAGGTACCTCTGGAGGCCAGAGAACAATCATATTCCTGGAGCTGGAGTTTTAGGCAGTTATGGGGTACCCCATCTGAACATTAGGAAACTGAGCTCTGATTCTCCGCCAGAGTAGCAAGTGCTCTTACCTGTTGAGCCTTCTCTCCAGCCTGATTTTGGAATTTTTGGATATGAAAATATGAGTGCTTACATCACATGCATTGACTAAATATCCTGGCAAATGGTAATGTTGTTCCAAGGACATGGGTCTCCGCTCTATAGCTTGGAGATGCTTTGCCAACCATTTGTGCACAGTAGAACTTAGGTAAAACCAGGATAGACCAACGAAACCCAGAGCTTCACAGAGATTAAGATAGGCACAAGTGCCCCAGGTCCCTGCTTCCTGCGTTGAACAACTAGGGACGACTGATATGGGCAAGGTGTAGAAGACATACATTCTCAGTCTTTAGCAGTTGATACTGCTGATGGTGATCCCGGTGTTCCAGGGAATTCAGAGATGTCCTCTCCACATTGTCAGAGACTTATAATTCCTTTCCCTAAACATCCTGAACATGCCTATGTCTGCGACACACTGACAATGGCCTCCATCCTTCTTTCTTGTTTGGCTGCAGCTGCTTCTGAGGTCACATTCGCCATTGATGTTGGGAACGGCCCTGTTGAGCTCCTTGTCCAGTCTCCTTCTCCTCTGAATGACAACCAATGGCATTATATCCGGGCTGAGAGGAACCTCAAGGAGACCTCCCTGCAGGTGGATAACCTTCCACGGAGTACAAGGGAGACCTCAGAGGAAGGCCATTTCCGGCTTCAGCTGAATAGTCAGTTGTTTGTAGGTAGGATACATCATACTGCATACTTTGTGCTAAACACCTACAAGATAGCTTTGTGCCCTGGCTCAAGGAAAATTCCTAATATTTTACAACTAGGAAATAAAATATGCTGTTATTTTTATTATTAAATTTTATAAATTTATTCTAGCTTCATAGATCATCACAATAAAGTTTATGATACTTCTTCACAAACAGTGGCTGTCTAAGACTGTTTTGGTATCATTTCTCTTTGTATTTGTTATTTTCAGACATCTATGGAATTTTATGTTTTGGGTCATTGTAATAAAAATTTATAGCATAGGCATAGAGATTCCAGTCCATCACTCTTCTTAGTATCTTCAACTCCTGATAACTATTGTTAAACGTGTGATCAAATCGTTTAGCTAAACTAAAGAACTTCAGTTTCAGGAGTAAAAATTATGGAGTGCTGGCTGGTTTTATGTCAACATGGCACTAGCTAGAGACACTTGAAAGAGGGACTCTCAATTGAGAAAATGTCTCCATATATTTTACCTATAAGGAAGTCTGTAGAGCCTTTACTTAATTAGTGGTTTATGTGAGGGGTACCAGCTATTGTTCATGGTTCCATCCGTGGTCTGGTGGTCCTGGATTCTAGAAAACATCAAGCTGAGCAGGCCATGTAAGGCACAGCAGTATGCAGCCCCTCTATGGCTTCTAAATCAGCTCCTGCTTCCAGGTTCTTGCCCTGCTTGATGTCTTCCCGTGATTTCCTTTGATAATTGACTGTGATATTCAAGTATAAGCAAATAAGCCTTGTCCTCTCCAAGTTGCTTTTGGTCACAGCAACAGAAACCCTAGCTAATGTAAGATGGTACTCACTCCCTCAGTGAGACTCAGCATTAGCACCAATATTATCTCTGAATAGGTTGCCACTGACAGTGGTGAGAGTGGAGAGATTCAGAAGTCATGGACTGAATTTGTTCCTTCTTTTATTTCACTATCTTGTCCTCCATTCTTCCTCCCTCGTTTCCCCCACCAATAGTCACAGAGGTGCTAATTCTATTCAGGTACCATTGTGAGATAGTGAGGATAGAATATGAACTAAGAGAAGTCACTGCTTTTTAAGGTGCTTTTGTGTGTGGGGGGAGGTGATTATGGGTATGAATTGTGTGTGCATGTATGTATGCATGTATATATGTGTATGAGTGTGTGTCATGCAGTATGTATGTGTATAGAGAGAAAGAGACGGACAGACAGATTAGAGAGGAGGGGGAATATTTTAGATATGCTAGTCTACTACTGATTTTGTTTTTGCACTGTTTTCTATCATCACTCACACTGTATAGCTCACCACCAGATATGAACTCTATCTCTATTCCATGTATATTTCTTATTTGCTTTTTTTTATATGTGGGTTAATGTAATTTTTAAATCTGAAAATATTCTTGCTTAAGGAAAAGAGATACTAGAATTTGAGATCATCAGACTTTCATTTCATCATCCACCATGCATGTATCTTCATTAACTGTGTTTTATACATCCAGCAGAATCTAATATCAAGTGATTTAAAACCTTCTTATGATTATAAGTATTGTCCTTAATTAATAACTCCAGTAAGTAATATGATTTATTACTGAAAGAATTTAAATTTATTTTGCTGTTTTAGTTCTATTTAAACATCACATTTTATTTCTTGGGAGAGTTTGCTACTCATCAAGATTTAATATCTTTTTTTGGTGGAATCAGTTTAAGTATTTTACAATTTTCATAAATTATACTCCATGTGAAAGTCTAATTTATCTTCAGGATCTATAGATGGAGGATTGGCTTTTTACACAATCAAAGCTCACTAACTATCACAAGAACAGAGAGGAGGTGAACTTTGTGTAACTTAAAATAGAAGAGAGGCAGCAGTGATTTGTGACAAAATTTATCACCACACATTTAAATTGGTCACAAATTAAATGAGTTGTGCAATAATGTGGATGGCACTGGATGAAGCATCTTGATAGAGTTGTAGCCCAGGTCAGTCGAGGAGCAAGCTCACTTTTGTTATGCTTCTCTCCAGTGAGCCCATTTCAGAAATTATTGTGCTTTATTGAGTTTAACTTGATGAAATTTAAAAAGGGGAAAAATTCTGTTGTAGGTCATCTTTGTCTGTTGATTTATGCCTCACTCTTTAGCATTCAGTGACAGGTATGTTGGCAAAGGTCATCGGGCCAAAGGCAGTTGAAGACCCAACATTTTCATTTTTTGTGTAATTCATGTTAAGTGAATGAATGAATGAATGAAAGGTTTGCTTAGTCACTGCCCTAGTTTCCTGTCTAGTTGCTGTGATAAAATTTTTCAACAGAAGCAACAGGAAAGAAAGGCCTCATTCAGTTTATAGTTCTAGGTTAGAATCCATCACTAAGAAAGAAGAGGCAGGAACCTGAAGTAACTCTTTACATCCATAGTCAAGTACAGAGAGAATGAATACATGCATGTTTACTCTCAGTTTAGCTCCTCCTCTTTTATATAGTCTAGGACCTAAAACCAAAGGATGGTGCCACCTACTTTTATGTTAGGTCCTAGCACAGGAATTAACTTAATCAAGATTATCCCTCAAAGACATGCCCATAGGCCACTCTAATCAAGACACTCCCTCATTGAGAATCATATAACAGGTGATTCTGTATTGTATCAAATTGGCAAAACTAACCATCATAGTTACATTAGCCCAAATAAAGTACTCTGTCCTCCATCACTCAGCAATGTGGAGACATTAGATGCTTACCTATGGCAGGTACCAAAGGATGCCATTATTAGAGTATGTGTCTTGATTGGGATAGATTGAGTATGGCACAGTTTAAATATTAATATGGATCTGCCTGTCCAGATACCTTTAGTCATGGGAGGATTCTTAAATCAAACTAGAGTAGCCAGCAGCACTCTTCTGTGATTGTGAGTACTTTCTGTGTACCAGACACAGACTGCATCTTATAAAATAGGACATACCTTTTGGCACTGACCTGGTTATTTCAATGTGACAGCATGAAAAGTGTTGATCAATAACTCATTGTTTGATAGATTTCAGAATCAATATTGTAACTCAACACTGTTTGTTGCAATGATAGTTAAGGATATTTGCAACAAAGCTATGCTGCCCAGTTCATTGATTGAGCAGAAGATAAGAAATTTTATAGGATGTAGCTTTAAATATGTAATATATAGCTGAGGTATAGTCTCACCATTGGGACTGTTGACAGTTTCATTATTTCTGCCTTGTGAGTTTTATGTATGTATATATGTGTGTGGTTTGAATGCATGTTTGCATTTGCATATCCATATTTGCATGTGCATGACCTCCTTTGCCTCTTTCTTTTGTTCATATACATGCTTCATGCAGCTGGTCACATTGCAACCCTAGTCAGGAAGCAGAGGCAATGCATGCTGGTGCTTCTCTCTCTTCCTCTCTCTCTCTCCTTTTTTTATTCAGTCCAGGAAAGCAGACAATGGAATGGTGCCACCCACATTTAGGATGGATCTTCCCACTTCAATTTATCTGATATAGACACTTCCTCACACACATGCGTGAGACTTGTCTCTTATGGAGTTCTAGATCCATCACATTAATGATGAAGCTTTCCATGACAGATATTAAGCTTCTGTAGGCTATTGACTGGCTTTAGGCAAAGTAGTTCACATAGGGATTAAATAGCTGAATACTCAAGCATAGGAGAAAAGAGGGGAGGGAAGAAAGGAATAGGGTGAAGTAAGAAGGGAAAAGGAGAGGGAGAAAGAGATATAATGAGATGAAGCATAAATACAGGAAGACATTAACGTAATAATTTTTGTTAAATCAGAGCCACATTTGGCCCACTCAGTGCTGGCACTAAAGGAGGGAAAGAGGAGAACTGGGGAAAATGGAGACTCCTGCGCTTGTGCAGGGTTGGAGAGGGCGCATACATAAGGCACTTCTTTGGAGACAGGGAAGATTTCTCAAGTGCTTTTCTAAGTCAGGTTTAGCATTCTAAGCTCCATTTTAAGAACTGATTCACACTTAATCCAGGGAAGCCCCATCCTAATGAACTCACCTGATACCAGGGCCAACTGAGATATGATATACCAAATTGCTTCTCAATAAACTATCTAATCAATACTCTTTGTTGTCAGAAAGATTGATGTCATGCACCAAATAAATACATGGATGTGTATATGTGTGCTTCTTGGAATAGAAACCATGTAAGAGAGAAGCAGAAGAAAGATTCTCTTTGTTGTGGCATTAACCTCAAATTTTCAGCATAATAGCTTAGCTCACAAATTCAGGGCTGGGAGTCCTCTGTACTGTTGCCTGTCAGGAGATCCTATTCCACCCCAGCTCTGCCATGCAAAATTTTTCTGACTCTTGACTCTAGCCAAGGTAATCATTTTTAAGTTGATGTCTTCACTGTTCAGAGTGAAGGGCAGCAACACCACTTCCTTTCTCATTGAGAATTAGATGAACTTAGTGGAATGTGTAATATAACTCTAGCATGCTTGAAATGAGTAATAAAATTAGTTTGATTATCTATGAACTTGTAGATTAAGACTGAGACGATAAAGAAAGGCTGAAAACCACTTTAAGAATAAAGCTATCTTTCCACTCTCCTAACTGTATAGTAAACTATTGTGTGAATTTCCCCCTGGAGATGTGAACAACTATGTATTCACTCTAAAAAGAGCAAACATTACAGAACAAAGAAGCAATTGCCCTAAAGTCTAACTTACTGAGACAGTGAATTTACTGGTTTCTTTTATGATTATAAATGAGGTTTTCTCACAGGAAAATGGGTGGCTCAGGTAACTGCCTCACTGACAGCTCCCTATGGCCTGGAAGAAGACTTATAAAGGTTTTTGAAACACTTACAGGAATCTTGGTGGTGGTGGTGGGGCTCTTAAAGCATATCCTGTTCCAATAATTGTTATTACTTGTAGAACTGTTGTGTAATATTAATTTTTGATGTGTTATATTCACTTATGCTGGCAATATTTGTTTAATGATGCAAAGATGTATTACATTCTCTTATGTTGCAGTTGTTTAACTCTGTAAAGCTGTGTTACTTTGCCTGCCTAAAACACCTCATTGATCTAATAAAGAGCTGAACAGCCAATAGCGAGGCAGGAGAGAGAGAGAGAGTCAGGGCTGACAGGCATAGAGAATAAGTAAGAGGAGAAATCTAGGCTCAAGAGAAGAAGGGGAGGAATGAGAAAGAAGAAGGAGAAGAGGATGCCAGGGACCAGCCACCCAGCCATACATTCAGCCCTAGAGTAAGAAGGAAAGAAAGATATACAAAATAAAGAAAGGTACAAAGCTCAGAGACAAAATGTAGTTAAAAAGAAATGGGATAAATTAACTTAGAAAAACTGGCTAGAAACAAGCCAATCTAAGGCTGGGAATTCACAAGTAAGAACAAGTCTCCATGTATTTATTTGGGAGTTGTGTGTGGGCCCCCAAAGAGTAAAAATCAAAGCTACATATAACCTTTGGGAGAGGCTTGTGAATGGCACAAATTTTGTTTACATCATAAGTCTTAAAGATCCTCTCTAGGAAGGACTGTTATAATTTGAAAAAAAAAATAGCTTCCCAACAACTGTATGTAAGTCAAGATGCAAAAATTTGAAGTGGAAAATGTATCAGAATGATAGCTGAAATATGTATGTGCAAAGACAGCAAAGTAACTCAACCTGCTAAATCTGGGTGGAGTCCTGGACAGAAGCCAGCAAGAAAGCAGGTGCATCGCCATCTGACTTCTCAATGAAAGACATTCTTGAATTTTGCTAGGATTTCTTTCTCTTAAAAAATTGACAACTTTGGAATGAAAAAATAGCTCAGCAGTTACAGACTCTTGCCAAGTCTGACACCCTGAGTTTAATCTTCAGGACCCATGTGGTAGAAGGAGAGAGTGGACTCTTACAACATGTCCTCTAACAGTGTGTGTACATGTCTCTGTGTTCATGTACATGTATGTGTGTACATGTATTTGTGCTTTCTCTGTGTGCATGTTTGTGTTATCTCTTGTGCATATACATGTATGTGTGCATGTGTACTTGTGTTGTCTCTGTGTATACATGCACATGTATGTATAGATGTGTGTTTGTGTGTGGTCTGTGTGTGTTTATGTGTATGTGTTTCTATATGTGAATATATTCATGGATGTACGTGTGTGTGTGTGTGTGTGTGTGTGTGTGTGTTTTGTGTTGGCATGTATTCTTCTTAAAATTATCTAACATGTGGCCTAGTCTGTATATTCCTTATAATAAAAAGAATCTGTTCTTTAGATTTTTCTCTTTTATAAAAACAAAGCACAGCCTATAAAAGCACAACTTTAGTTCACTGTGTAAGGTAGTTGCACAAGGCCTCATGCCATGGTGCTCTCTCAGCATGTAGAAGGACTTGAGTTTCTAGTCTGAGGAAAATCATACTTAGTTTATATGTCTCTACATTGAGAAGTGCATTTTTACCAGAGAAATTACCCCAGCCACCCTTTCTTCATTTATAAACTTGTTGACTAAGCCACACAGGCAAGAAAATGTACAATAGATCTTGCATTCACAACCACTGCTAGGAGAAAAAAATGACACCAAGAAGATAAATGAAGAGTTATTCAAATCCATGAAGGGAGGTGACTACAGAGCAAGAGAAACAGAACCCAGTGTGAGGCTCCATAAATCCTCCCCTCTTTATTGCATATAACCCCCAGAAAAGAAATAATGAGCCTTCCTTTGTGATCGGCTTGTGTGTGCCATTGATTTATCTTGTGGTTAAAGGAGACTTACTCACCGAAATTGAAACAGACAAGACAGTGTAATTGAGGCTTGGCCTCTCAGCCTGCATTCTTATCAGAATTGGAAGCAAAGTCATTTTTTTTTATTATTTCAGAGTAAGAGAGTAGCTTTGTATCTCAGGAATGTTCTTTTTTGTTCTTTGGGCTCAAGCAGTGATTCATGTGTGTTTATTGGTCTGGTTACCTGGTATCTTAGTTACTTTCCTATTTCTGTGATAAGACACCATGACCAAGAAAATGCTTAGATTGCACTCATGGTTACAGAGGGTAGACTCTGTGACAATCATGATGTGGAGCAGGGCAACAGCCAGGCACTCATGGCACTGGGGCAATAGCCGAGAGCTTGCATCTTGATATATAAGTAAGAGACAGAGAGAGAGACACGGGGATAGCATAGGCTTTTGAAACCTCAAAGCCAGTCCCAAGTGACACACCACCTCCAACAAGGTCACACCTCCAAATCCTTCTCAAACAGTTCCACTCACTGGGGAGCAAGTATGCAAACATGATGTTGAGGAGGCTGTTCTCATTCAAACCACTGTACCTGGGATGGATTAAGGAAGCATCTACACTGTGGTTTTCCAGAGATCTGCCTGTCTCCACCTCATATCTTATATCACTGTGATTATAGGCATACATCATATCACTTAGTCTTTTTATAGGTTCTTTTTTTCTTTATTAAGAAAATTTTTATTTGTTTAATGTACCAACTGCAGATCCTGCTCTCATTCCTCCTCCTGCCCCTAGCCTTCACCCCCAACCCATCTCCCATCCCCTCCTCTGAAAAGACAAGGGCTCCCACAGGGAGTCAGCAAAGCCTGGTACATTCAGGTGAGGTAGGTCCCAGCCCTTCCTCACTGCATCAAGGCTGTGAAAGGTAATGAGCTCCAGGAAGCCAGATCATGCACTAGGGATAGATCCTGATTTCACTGCCAGGCCCCTTCAAACAGACCAAGCTACACAACTGTCTCAGGAATGCAGAGGACCTAGTCCAGTCCTATGCAGTCTCCCTAGGTTCTGAGGATCAGATTCAGGTCTCCATGTCTGTCAGTTAAGCACTTTACTCACTGATCCATCCCCAGCCTCAATTTACAATTTTATTTTCTTTGTTTACACTTATACTTCTTATCCAAAATGGCAAATTTCTAATGCCTAGCCTATCTTCTTTGATAAATATGCACACAGATCTAGTTATGTTGTAAACCAAATTTAATAGAGTTGTGGCATAAAGTGTTCAAGAAGAATGAGTCTCAGCCTATAAATACAGAAAATAATTGATGTGTAGTTTCTACCATCAGTATTTTCTCCTGCTCCTCTTCCTTTCTTGTTTTTCTCTCCCCTCCCCCATTCTTTCTATGTTTCATTAGTACATTAGGCAGATTTCAAGGACTTTTATGCACTCTCTACTCATCTATGATATAACCTTGAGCTCGAAGATTGGACACTAAATGCCTGTTTTCTAAAGCCAGAATGGTCCTCTGCCTCTTTTAGGATCTCCTAGAATTCTCAGCAGAGCACACATACAGGGTAATGGGATTTAACTGTGCTTTCCAACTTCTTGTCTCTTAGCACACATTTCTCTTATATCTGGGGAGAGTAGGGTTTTCTCTGTGAACAAAACAATGAGAAAGTTTAAATTTGCTCAATGCTTGATGGAGAGTATTGAACCCTCTCCTGACAGGCTCCAGATGTATCTTGGCTGAGAGTGGGATTACAGCCCAAGTCTCAATTTGAGTGGAGAAATCTTATCTGCTAAATAGCATTTTATAGATAACTCTAAGATCAAAAAGTAGATAATACATAATGCACCTACTGAGTCTAGGCAATAGGTGAAGACTTAAAGAGAAGGACCCAGAGGACTACAATCCCTGAACACACGTTACACTCCATGATCCTCAGTAAGCTTTACTCTAAAAACATGGAATGACAGATGGAATAGCTGAAAATCCAACAATTCAGTGCTCAATATGGCCAACCAGTGAGTGACATGGAGGTGAACCTCAACACTGATCTTTCCTTCTCCCAGTGCACAGTCCTATACTGCACAAGCATAAAGAATATATTGCAGTTTTGTCTCTTTGGTGCATCTTACAGTTCTCTTTAAAATTTGCCAGGAAAGACAACCTGACTCTATCCCTTTTTTTTTCCAACGAAGACACTATAGGCTGTATAAAAAAAAATCTATATTTTATTTACATGCAGACACCATGGTCATGTAAACTTCCATTCCTATGCATCTAAGAAGAGCTATGTCTCTCTGAGTCTTTCTCTCTCTCTCTCTCTCTCTCTCTCTCTCTCTCTCTCTCTCTCTCTCTCTCTCTGGGCATGTTTGTTTTTGAAACAGGGTCTCATATTTCCTAAGTTGGCCTGGAACATGCTATGTAGTCAAAGATGATCTTGAATTTCTGATCCTCCAGACTTCACATCGTGCATGCTGAGATTTTTGATGTGCACAGCTATGATTACTTAATTCAGTGGTACTGGCAATTGAACTCAGGGCTTCATGCATGCCAGGCAAGCACTCTACCAACTGACTTAAATACACAGCCCTGACTTCATGTTTTTTTTTTTTTTAAATTCCTTTCTCTCACTGGGATTTTAAAGAAAAGTTCAGCAGGGCAGATGATACCACCTCAGTTAAGTGTTAGGCAAGGATGTTACTCTTATGTAATACAATGTTACAGGTCAACAGATGGAAGCTGAGGTGAAATTACCCTGCAGACAGCTTCCTTCAGAAAGCGATAGCATGAAGACCGCAAATGAGAGTGAGGAGCTCTTAGATCCAAAGAAAAAAAGAAGGCATTTTGATCCTACAGATTTTCATGAAGATGGGGAGAAGTCCCATACCACATGCCCCAGTCTACATGCTAGACATCATCATTAGCATCCAGCCCTCAAGGCCCTCTGGTGTCATGGCAGTAGGGACTGGGCAGGCCTTGTCTGCACCTATAAAGGGAAGAAGAAGAACTGTATGGTCAGAGCAGGCTCTTCCCATCCTTTCCAGGGAGAGATCCCACAGCAGGAAGTGGCCTGATTTCTGGGGGAGGGGACAGTCGGAAGTTCTGTGATCTATCGATTATATCTATGAAATATAGCAATGACACTGTTCATGTTTTCCTTCTTGTTTTTCACCCTTAGGAGGAACATCGTCAAGACAAAAAGGTTTTCTTGGATGTATCCGCTCTTTACACTTGAATGGGCAGAAAGTGGATCTGGAAGAGAGGGCAAAGGTCACATCTGGAGTCAGACCTGGCTGCCCAGGTCACTGCAGCAGCTATGGAAGTAACTGCCACAACGGGGGCAAGTGTGTGGAAAAGCACAGTGGCTACTCCTGTGACTGCACCAACTCACCATATGAAGGGCCTTTCTGCCAGAAAGGTAAGCTGGGCACGCATGCCACTACTGTGTCCAGTCCAGCAGCTTCCACACGCCACATCCAGCAATCCCATGCCTGAGGCAATACACACCATTGTTCCTGTATGTGATGCTCTAATGTCCACATGGCATGATCAAGCCAATGGCACCGATGCCTTTAGGCACACCACACCATTGCTTCTATGTGTGACAATGGTCAAACCAACGTTCTCCATGCCCTCAAGCAGTACCCCAGATTCGTACTCTCACGTTTTCCCTGTTTAGACTCTGCTTAGCTCATCAACATAGTCATAGCCTCTATCCTGGCATTGGGCTTGCACGCTTGCTGGCAGTGCAGTTGTGCGTGGTCATAGTTGAAAATGGGCACATCATCCAGGTTGAAGAAAAGCTGAAAACCAGAAGTGGACCACTTACTAACATTTCTAGTTCTAGTACCTCAATTAGAAAATGAATCAAGGGACCACAGTGTTGAGTGCAAAAGAAGATATGGAAACACTAAAGCTAGCTTTAATGTTTTTGAAAGAATACATATCAATGAATAAAAGAAGTTCACTATGAACTTTTATGAACTGTAGTTGCTTACCTACACTCAGGCCAGCTCCATCCCATAGTTGGTGCTTACTTTGGCTGTTGTCTCACAGTCCAGACATCACTAATATGATGGGGTCTCTACCTTCACCAATGGCTTCTTGGCCTCTCTTTTGTAACCCTGACACTACACATGGTACCAGACTTCTCCTTCTCCCCATGACCCTTCCAATCCTGGGGTTTCTACAGTAACCAAGGTTATATCTTCACCAATGACTTCTCATGATGCTGTGTTTTAAGTTTTATGACACCTTCAGTACGGCGGTTTCACACCACCAAAACCAGTGCCATTTGGAAGATTCTTAGATATTTCCAAGTTTGGTGCCAGCTTGTGATGTAGCTTTGGCTCCTCTGGCCTACAGCTTTGGGTGTTAACCCTGAGTAAACACTTTACAGAAGATTTTGCCTCCGTGATTCTGGTCTCTTACTAATCACAGCTGATTTCCTCAGCTCCAACTGACCAGCCTCTGTTTTCTTAGTGCTGCACAAGTTTCACCTTCAGGGGTTTTATATACAAAATATCACACCAACAATCCTGATGTCTATTCTTCCCTCTAAAATGTAACAAGCTCAGCCTATATCATCTGCTTTGCTCTCAACATTGTTTCAAATTCATATAGAATAGCCCAGTAGACTCTGAGCCTTCAATGCTTTTTCCAGGCTAAAATGCCAAATACATTCCACAATCCACATTCTACCCGCAAACAGCATGTTCATGTCTATCCCAGCAGCATCCATGAACCTGCTCCCAACATCTGTTTCAGTTTAGTCTCTTTTACTATGGTAAGTGCTGTGACCAAAATAGCTTGGGAAGGAGAGAGCACATCTGGCTTACAGGGCAGTAACCCAAGGCAGGGACCTGGAGAAAGGAACTGAAGCAGAGACCAAGAGGAATATTGTGTACTGGCTTGCTCCCGGTGGCTTGCTCAGCCAGCTTCCTTGGATAATCCAGGACCACTTGCCCAGAGGCAGTACTGCTCAGAGTAGGCTGGGACCTCCTACACCAATCATTATTCAAGAAAATGCCCTTACAGACTTGCCTATGGGACAGTCTGATGGAGGAATTTTTCCAATTGAAGTTCCCTCTTGCTGGTTTACCCTGACCTGTATCCAGGTAACAAAAAATAACAAACACAGCATATATTACATTCTTAAAGAATAAGCAAATGCATTTTAAATTAATTTGAAGACAAAGGTGTTCTCAGTTTTCACATGAGGAAAACTCTGCTAACAACTCTGCCAAGTCGGAGTGAATCCTTGAGTGGTTCCATCATTACAAGATGCACATGCAGATGCAGGGGACCAGACATGATGCCGAAGTATACCAAAAGTGTCCTGTAGTATCCACGTCAAAGTCTTCTAATGGGGAAGGGAAACCTTGATCAGAGGTTCTACCTGCATCTCTCATCCAAACATCCCTGGGAACATCCTCCTCTTTAGCCTCATTGGTACAGCTTCCTTTCTGCAACTTTTGTGTTTACTCTCCTGTGTTGATAGCAGCACAACTGTTGTCCACATCTGTTAAAATACCTGTTTCTCATTTTGATGCATCAGTGAAATAAACAACTGTGTCCTTCTTAACCTTTTCAGGGTCCTACCTACTCTACTGTTTCTAATTTCTACCTCTTTGTTGAAATTAAATGACCCCCTGGATAAGCAATGGATGTAAGATGCCCTTCTTAACCAAATATTTGTCTTTATAATTGCCTCTGGGAAATGTGACTTGGAACTGAAAAGGAGAGCCATGTGCCAAGAGAACCCTGAACAAAGAGTGTTCCCTGCTGGGGTGCTGTTCCCTGCTTTTTACTACAGCATCATGCATGCCAGAGCTGAGGTTTTTAAACACGTGGAATATCAAGGATAGAATTAAGGACATGTGCTTATTCGCCTGTCCTGGGCCCAGTCACCCATTTCCTGTTCCTTACGGTGCTATAACAAGGAAGAAACATTCTTTGGGGATTATAATTTCAGGCATTTTATCCCATAGTTCCTTGGCTCTACTGCTTTTGCATCCGTGTTGACATCATAGGTGAGTGTGGTAGAAAAACTCCATTTCTTACAGCTTCTGTGAGGCAGAAATGAGAGGGGAGATGTGGAGATCCCAGGATCACCTTTCCAAGTCATGCCACCAATGGGTTGTTCGTATTTTTATTTTTATTTTTATTTTTTGGATGATTGTGTACATTCATTCTGTGAGTGTGGGAGCCCAAGGATGCCAGAAGACAGTATCAGATTCTGTGGAACTGATCCCAGTGGTTGTTAGCTGCCTGACATGGGTGCTAAGAACCAAACTCAGGTCCTGTGGACAAGGAAGAGGACTTAGCCTCTGAGCCATCTCTCAAGCCCAGGTGATGTGAAAGTCATTCACTCTCAGAGCTGGGGACCTTTGATTTATTTGGTCTGCTGCTTTGCTTTAGGTTTTTTTCCTCATTTGTGATTCTGATTTTATTCTGAATAAAAATGTGATGGAAATATCCCTCCAGGAATGTGGCTTTTTGCTTTTTTGTGCTTTTTTAAAGAGTTATTTATTGTTAGTCTTTTAGTTAGAAACAATTCAAACCCAAAGAAATCCTCCCTGGTAAAGTGTATCTATCTGTCCTGCTTCCTGTTCCCCACATACCCTTCCCTACCTAGGTTAAGATTATTTTCTTCATCAGCCACCTCAAAATCTCAGTGCCTGTAGCAACCTTCTGCCTCCCAAGAAGACACTCCTCCCTCTGCCTCTGTGGATTTGCCGAGGTGGAACTCTCTTATAAAGGAACCCTAATACAAATTGCTTCTTTGTTTCACCTTTCTCTGATTAGATAATGTTGTCACTTCACCCAGGTCAAGGCATTTTTTTTCTTCCTGTTGCCAAAGTATTTTATGGCTGTTCCTTTCTCTGCTTGCCTGTTGGTCAGACAGTGGGCACTGGACTGTCTCCATTTCCTTCTGAACAATACTATCCCTGAAACTCATGTACGTGTTTAGGATTGTCATATAATTTGATATCATTTTATTACATGTATTTATTTGAGTAAGGGGAGCTGAGAGAGCACATGTGCCATGTGGTCCTGTGGAAGGCAAACAGCAACTTTCAGAACCCGGTTTCTCTTCTTCCACCTGTGAGTGATGGCACAGGGAAGAAACCATAGAAATGGCTGCTCCATGGGGAGTATAGTTTTGTTGACTGTAAATATGAGAGAACAGACAGAGGCATCTGGAAGAGTCCAGAACTGAAAGGAAAAAAAAAAAAAAAGCAAATAGGACTGGCAGGGCCAGGGCTATCTCCCCTGCGGGGCTTGAGGGGTGACAGAGAGAAGTGGGGGAAAATGGCAGGGAGGCTAGCAAGAGAAGCAGAGAAGCAGGGCTGGGGTGGAAGTGTGGGGGCTGCCAGTTCTGTAACCTGGAACAGCCTGGGAAGGAGCATAATGGAGGAGGTAAGCTCTAGTGCAAGATTTGAAATGCACAACAGGTACATGCGTTAGGTACCATGAAATACTGAATGTTATCTTTGATAGGCAACCACAGGTATATGCCAAGGGAACTGGCCCTTTTCTGTGGGCAGAAACCAATTTCACAGGTTCCTGAGGAATGCCACCTGTGAGCTTTGATCTTTACACTAGAAATCCTCCTAGAGTCCAGCTTGAGCTGAGCTTAGACTTTCACTTTGGGACAAGTCAGTGGGACTACCCTTTCTGGGAATACTTGGGGGGTTTCCCCCTTGACCTAATATCACTGTGCAGCACTGGGTATAAAACTCAGGTCACTAAGACTGGTGAGTGACAAGTTCACTTACCTGCCAGCCAGCTTGCTGCCCATGCTTCATCTCTCGAGGAACTGTTAAATTGTTTTTCAAAGTGGGTTGTGGACTTTCCATCTTACGAGAAGTGTGCAAAGCTCTCGTTTTTCTGCACTCTCACAACCTGTTACTGTGTGCCTATCTTATAGCAGACACCCTACTGTGTGGGAAATGGTGCAATACTGTTGCTCTGACTTGCTCATACCTAATGACTAGTCATGCTAATCAGTCTTTCAAATCATTAACATTCATTGCATGTCTGGTTTGAATAACTGCATATTCAAATCTTTTGCAGATTTTTATTCTCATTGCCATTCATTCACAACTTTTTCCTCTTTTCTGAATATATGTTCCTTATAAAATTATAATTTGCAAATTTATCCTCCATCCTATAGGTTTTCTTTTCAGAGTTTTCATTATATCTTTTGAAACAGAAAGCTGCTACATTCTGATGGAACCTAATTCATCTTTTCTTTCTTTTATTGCTTCTACTTTTCCTGTCATACATGAGAAATAATGGGTGGGTTCAAGGGTGTAAAAGTTTGTACCTATGATTTCTTCTGAGTGTTCTATAATTTTAGCTCTTCTATTGAGGATATTTGTAGCGGTAATGCCTGCATTACCGATACCCGTTCACCATGTCCGAGCGAAGGGCTGTGGATTAAAAAATAGAGACAAGAGACAGCGGGTCATCCGTACGATTGGATGTCGAATGCCGTTTATTGAAAGAGGGAAGAAACCTTAAATACAGGCTTACAACACAAATGGAGGATCCCCTGAGGGCAGAAGTTTGCTACCAACGGTCTACATTCCAGACCCAATGTTCTGCATTCTTGCATCTAAGTTGTTTACACCAAATACAGGATGCACCTAAGTTGTTTACACCACAAGCAGGATGTAGGAACAAAGAACCTCCGGTAAGCTCTCCGATGATCCTAAGGTGAGAAGGACACCGGCAGGGAATCTGAATAGGGAGGACACCTGGTCAGCAAGCAAGGCTGCAGCCACTCACAGTCGGGGGTCAGGGCCCATGGTGCCCACAGATATTGTTACATTTTGAGTTAATTTTCATATTTATTTATTTATTTATTATCTATTTTTATTTATTTATTTAATTCTCTCTCTCTCTCTCTCTCTCTCTCTCTGTGTGTGTGTGTGTGTGTGTGTGTGTGTGTGTGTGTGTGTGTTTGTCAGCATGCCAGGGCACATGTGTGATTTGAGTACAACTTATAGGAGTAGCTTCTTTCATTCTACAGGATGTTCACAGGGACTGAACTCAGATCATCAGGCTTGGTTGCAAGCATCTTTATCCTCTGAGCCACCTTGGCAGTCTTCATATGATTCTTTTGCCTGCTAATATCCATATGCCTAGGTATCATTTATCAATGTGTAAATTTTTTCCTTCAGCTTTCTTCTATTATTGACTGAATAACCAATTCTATCACTTAAATATTTTTGTTGCTAAAAATGCTAGGTAATAGATTTGGAAATATTTGTACAAATCTAGAAAGTTAACTGAACCACATAGACAATCATTTCAAAACAAACAAACAAACAAAAATGTTACTTGCATTTAATATAGTGGAGATATGGAGATCATGATGTGTATTTTATTTATGCCACAGGTTTCCTTTATTTTATCCAATAAGCATTCCTGTATATGTCATAAATATTTGTAAGCCTAAGTTTCAACTGTTGCAATAGTTCCCATTATAAATACTGTCTTCTCTTACTTAATTCATCAGTCACCGGAGCTCTGCAGAAATAGTCTTGGTTCATGTTCTTACTCATATACCATTGTCCATGGGAGACAGTTGTTACATATTTATTCTCAAACTTACTTGATTTCCACTTTCTAATGTGTGGGGAATTCTTATTTTTAACAAAAGAAACACTGATATAACTTGCTTGATGAAAGACAAACATTCGTTTTGAACCTTTCATAAGATTGCACTAGTAGTCCCAGTCTGCCAGAGACTATGCATAAACATGTAGCATTAATTAGGTGGCACTATTACAGACTGGTAACAGAGTTTTCACAAGGCAGAAACATGGGAAGAGCATTAGGAAGCAAAGCTAAGTTTGGTTATGTTCTCAGTGCCCCACACTTTGCCAGGGAATATCGAGGGAGGATTAGGAACACTGCACCCTTCTTTTGGGAAGAAGAGAACCCTATCATAGCCACATGAACTCAAGTTTACCACACAGTTTGATAGTCAGATGTGCATTCACAGATCTAAGTCCATCTCCCCAGCTCCAGGTATACTTTCTTGCAACACAGAGGTTCCATTAGTCTAAAGCCTGCTGGGCAATGTTCCTCAGTGATTTACAAAGACCATCTCACTGAATAACATAGTGATATGGAGAGAGGGTTAGTGTTGTGATTAAGATCCCCAGCCACATTTCTAATCGCAAACAATGGATAAAAATGACTGTGGAAACGGCTCTGTCAGCACAGTGCTCGCCGCACAAGCATGAGAGTCTGAGTGGAATCCCTAGCACTCACATAGACCACAGATGTCCCTAGAGGAGGTGAGATAAGAGGAGTTCTGAGGCCTCTGGCCAGCCAGTCTAGCTAGTACAGGAGCTCTAGGTTTAGTGTCTCAAAAAATGAACACACCACCCTTAGTTTCTGACATGAATCCTCATGCACATATGTGATCATACACACAAGTAGATTTGAGTCTCTTCAAAATTGTTAAGCACATTGTCTAATTTTTTTTTAACAGCCCTCACACAGTGCTGGGTGCAAGGAAACAATAGGCAGGCATTAAAATTACTTCAAGTAGTTGACTCAGTGTTTGAAAATGTGCTCTCTTGTCTTCTTTTTTTTACAGAGATTTCAGCTCTTTTTGATTCTGGCAGCTCGGTTACATACATGTTTCAAGAACCATACCCGGTGACCAAGAACACAAGCCTGTCATCTTCAGCTATCTACACAGATACAGCCCCATCCAAGGAAACAATCACACTGAGCTTTGTGACAGCACAGGCCCCCAGCCTCTTGCTCTTCCTCAATTTCTCGTCTCAGGATTCTCTGGCTCTCCTGCTCGGCAAGAATGGTGAGTGTTGGTGGCATGAAGTCACAAGGCCAGCCTTGCCTGAAGGGACATCTCATGCTCAGCAGTACCCTGCAGAGCCGAGCAGCTGGTCAGCTTCAGCCAAACCCTTCATTCCAGTTTTCCTTTACGAGGCATAATCAGTATCCTGGGACAGTGTCAATTTGCCACCAAAGTCTCAAACTCATCCACTTTAATTTGTCTTGATTGTGTTGTGATGATTCTTTACTGATGTTTTATGCTGGAATCCAGTAAGTATAAAAGATCATAAGGTGGTCTGAAATTCAGAAGGGCAGTTTCCATATGTATCCTGCCATCTTTGCTGCCCTGCCCTTCACTGGGGCCTGGTAGAGCATAAATACTGGCTGTGTTCATAGGTGGGCGTTGTCTAGGTCTTCCAGGCAATATGGTGTAGGAGCCAAACCCTGTGGCACAGAACCTCACTTCTGAGAATCTGATTTTCTCTTAGAGATATCAACTCTTTGTACACAATGGTTGACTATTGATCTGTGATATTTTCCACTCTGAAATGGCAAGAGCTGGAGTATTTTACTTTGCCAAAAAAGTACTACTAATTGATAAATGGAATTTTGTTATTTCTTTCCTTTCTTACAATTATTAAAATTAGTTATAAAACTCATGCCTTATTATAGGACATTGTACCCTGACTTCACATACATAGATGAACTCAAGTGTCTTTTGAAGGCTGCAGCTCTTTGTTATCTCTGTTTCTTTTCTATTGACATCCCCAATAAAATAGAATTTGCAAAGGAGACTTTGTATCTCAGTTTTCAAGGTATCTATCTATAGTACCTACCTGTCATACTGCTGCTCATAAACATACAATGAAGGTGTGAATCAAGCTTTGGGAGGAAGGTTGACCTAGTGGATATGAGAAGGTTAGAGAAAGGACAGGAATTGTATCATACAAGAAATATTGATGCTAACCATATATTGTAGCAATTGGAGGTCAAACTTTTTGATCACATAATTTTTTTAATCACACTATGAAAGGATAAAACCTCCTAATAAAGCCATGACCAAGTATACTATGAAATCAAAATCTTACCACATGAAACAATTGTTTAAACAAATGAACCACTGAAACACACACATATCTGTCTATCACATGATCTTACATAACACTGTCCTGTGGTGAGGAATATGGTTCAAATCCTCTTGCAATCTTCTGGTACCACTACAGGATTTCAGACTTTTGGTCAATTTATCCCAACCACAAAGCTAAGCTCAAAGGTGAACTGTTGAGTGCCACAGCAGAAGTGACACCCGTCGAAGGCAGCATGTATATGACCTTGTCTACACTTCAGGTGCAAAGTACATATTTGTGTTGGTGTGCTACTTTCTGTCTGTTCTTTGTGTTATACTTCTTTGTCACAGTGTACTATGTATGACTTGAATATAAAGAACTATTCACTTATTCTGAAAGGTATAATGAATATTTGGGGTCGTGTAAGATGAAACAGCCAAATGAACAACAATAATAATAGATAGTTCATAAGATGCTACAGATGCCATTTATTCTGAGACCAACATGGAGGAAGGTAAGACAACGTATGGATAGGCAGGAAAGAAGAGAGATAAAGAGAAAAGAAGAATGAGGAGGAGGAGGAAAAGGATGAGGAAGCAGATGAGGTGGAGGATAAAGATGAAGAAGAGTGGAGGAGGAAGACGAAGAAGAGGAGGAAGAGGAGATTTGATTATTTTTCAAGCTCTTGGGTGATTTTTTTTTTTTTTTTGGTTTTTCGAGACAGG